GACATGTAACTGGGTGAAAACCCTAGACTATAAGAGCTAGTTGAAACTTCTGAACTCATCTAGTCAAACAAGTCCCTTATTTTACAGATGGGGAACCTGAGGCACTGAGCAGGAGCATGACTTGCCCTAGGTCACCCAACAAGATAGCCAGGACCGGAAGCCATGGTTTCAGAGTCCCAGCCCCATGGTTTTTTGTGTTTGTTTTCTGATAGTAACACCTCTCAAAGGACCGCTCTGTTCCCTTCCTTCCCAAATATCAGGGAGAGTGTTTGGCTGACTTCCCAAACCAAATATAAAGTCCAAGAAGACATATATCTTTTGTATTGAATCTGTCAATAAAATGATGCTGCATTTATAAAAAATAACATTTGAACCCTGAAAAATATTTCGCTAAAACACAATGCACTTCCTTGAAAATACTCAGCGTCCCAGGACGACAGGAGAATAATGCATGTGGGAGGCAATGTGTCCACTTTTCCCAGGGCAGGCACTTTCTGCAGTCCAAAGGACCAACAACCCTTTTGTATTACCTGGGACCCAGCCCACAGTTGCCCATGGATGGAATCTGAGAGTGAGAAGCTGGTGACAGGCAAAGTATCTCTGAAGAAAATGGATTGTGTTTGGTGGCAGGGGTATTGGAAGCTTCCTCTACGCTTGGGGTGTTACAAGACCCTCAAATCTTTGGGGACAAAGAAGGGTCTGTGACATACACAAGTAGGAAACAGTGTAATTGAAGTGGAACAGTTAAGAGCCCTCAAGGGTATTATTATGAATCTTTGGCCAGAGCAGGAGTCTCTGGGTGAGTGGCAGACTGAATCAGATGCTTCAGGGGACTTGCCAGCTGTGGAGACTTTAGGTACTAACACCTCTCAAAGGACAACTTTTCTCTTTCTCCCTTCCCTCCCAAATATTAGGGAGAGTGTTTAGCTGTGTGGTACCATGCAGTATCACTGGCAGGGGCGGGAGGAAAAGGATACACCAGTGATGCCAACGAAAGACATGAAGAATGTCTGATTCCATTGCTTTCATTATGAGCTCTGATTGGGAGAACTTCAGACTACAGCAAGATCAGGGAAGTGAACTTGGGGTGGAGGGAAGTAAACTGAGTCGGAGAGGGTTGTGGGGGTCAGAATGGAAAGAGGATGGAGCCAAGGCCAGAGAGATGAGAAAGGAAAGAACGAACTGACTTAGAAGGCGCTTGGGAGCGACAGTAGAAGGAAGGGGCAGAAATCTGAATGCGGAGAAGAGTTGGAACTTGGTAGGGGGCAGACCCATCACTCAAGACAATGGGAAGCCCTTAGGAAAGAAACCCAGTGAGGGGTTGAGGAAGTCTTGGCAAAGGTGTTGTGACTTATTATCTCACGGAGCCAGGAGTGAACTTGAGGAAACAAGGCAGGAAAAGCTTGCTCACCAACAGTGGCCAAGTGCACTAGGAAGAACTTTGGGGGCAGGAAAAGGATGGAAGTGGAAAACATGCAGAGCCAAAGTCCATTCCCACCAGAGAGTTGTGGACACAAAGAAGAAATGAGTAGAGGGAAAACTTGGGCTTTGTTCTGCCCTTGCTGGAGGAGGGGGACCCTTGCATTTGGTAGAATCCATCCAACAGGTTGGGCTACAGTCACACTACCTGGTGTCCATCCCCTCTTACCCCCTCTGTGAACTTTTCTGGTTAAGGTAATTGTGTGTGTTCCAGAAACATATGTGGGACAACAGAATCAATGTGATCTGTCTATGACCTGGTGAAGAAATCGTATTCTGGATTTTAAAAAAAGGGAGTGAATTTGAGTAAGTTTTTCTAAGTTTCACTCATCTTTCTTCTCTCCTCCCTTCTTTCTTTCCTTCTTCTCTTACCTCCTTCCCATTTTTTTTCTGTCTTCTAGACCCAAGGGAGAAGCAAAAATACAGGCAGTCCCCTGGGTTATGAAATGTTCGGCTTACAGGCCTCCTGGTGGTGATGTGCCATGGAGTCAGATCTGACTCATAGAGACCCTGTTTACAGAGTTTCCAAGGTTGTAAGTCTTTATGGGAGCAGAAAGCTTCATCTTTCTGCTGAGGAACAGATGCTAGTTTTGAACTGCTGACCTTGAGGTTAGCAGCCCACCAGCCCTTTAATGCAGGGCTTCAAACTGGTCTCCTATGGCTGACAACAGGAAACAGGAACAGATTGGAATTTTTTCAGTCTGGATGGAGAACTACAGGACCAAGCCTGGAATGGGAGACTCTGAAGCACTGTAACGAGCCCTTTCCGGGGCCTGATGCATGGTGTTGGATGATTGGTCAGGCTGTGAAGAGCCACCCACATTTAAAGCAATGTGGTTGGCCACCATCTTTGAGCAGGTCATCGCCATCATTGAAGCCTTGCTGCTTCCAGCAGTATGTAAATTTGCTGTCACTTCGAAACAATGAACCAACCTCTACTTCCAAAACATTTTTCATCACAACCACCTTCATTTGCTGCACTGAGCTTTAAAATCATTGCAAAGGCTTTGGGCCTCTTCTTGCACTAAAGCAAGCCTAGATAAGTACTGTATACACTTGTTTTCACTGACCTACACATTTTTAAAGACATAGGGATGGAGCTCGTTTGCAACCCAGTGACAGTCTGTAAATCAGAAGTAGGGGTTCAAGTGGAATTTTCGGATCTTCCTCACACCAGAGGTTTTAAAACAAATAGTGGTATGGTTGGGATGAGAACTCTTTTATAATCAACTTATAAAACAAGCCTTGAGACAGATGGACACCTTGTCAAAGACAGGACTGGAGAAGGTCTAGTCTGGGAAAGGATCCACAGCCTAAGGCTGGAGAACTTTGTTCTGAGAAGATGCTTCCAACCCTGGATGTTAGGAGATCATTGGCTATGTGTGTTTACATGTAGAAAGTTGGGAGAGAGGTTTCTCAACCATATCTCTTCTTCCCCTTCTGTACCAGTGGGCAGCATTCAAAAAGACTGGCCTGATGAGTGAGCACTGGGCTAGGGAGGGACCCCTCATGTTTTTGGGAGTAACCACCTATTCTATTCAGATTGATTTCCTCCAGCACAGTCCTCTTGGCCTTGCCTTCCGGAACAAACTCCCATAAACCTGTGGGGACCAGCCCTTAGGAAGGTTTAGGTGTTTGTGGGGGAGAAAAGCAGAGAATTATCCCTGTCCTCCTAACCTCAGAGGTGCATTCAGAGGGCGTGTCAGAAATCCCCAGCCTTTCATCACCTCTTGATGTCTGCTAGTTTGTCTTGTGTCCTATGAGAGGTGAGCTTTGGTTGGGAGACAAGAGCTTTGGAATCTTGAAATAAACAGGAGGAATCAATCGGTTGGTTTCTCTGTGGTTGGGGGCCAAGTGTTAGGGGCTTGGTAAGATGAAAATTTCCAGGGGCTGCCACTAAAGAATTCTTCCTCTTTGCCTTTTTAAAAAGGACTAGACATGCTGAAGGCAAAACTGGGGGAATTTAAAATCCCAGTTTAAGGTCATTGCTTTGGGAACGTGGCTCCAACCTCAGTCTAATTTTCCTCCCAATCTGCAGCTGTATGAATGGGGATGTCCCCTTCCTCCCCACTTCCCCCAACCTCTGGTCTTGGGAGAGTGGCTGCTACTTTGCTGCTTTGCTCTCATTCTCTGGAGGTCATCCCATCTCCCACTTCCAGGTTGGAGGCAGAGAACAGGCTGGCACTAGCCACCCCCACCCCCACCCCCATACAACCTAAGGCATGGATTTTCCTGAAACCCTAGCGCCCCCTGCAGGTGAGGGACTACTGCAGTCTGGAACTGCCCCGTGAGCCTCCAGACTAATGAATATCTGGGTACCATCACTTGTCACCCTGATCCACGTAGTGGATTAGGCAGTGGGGTTGTAGAAGGTTGGGCGGTGGAGAAAGGGAAGCAGGTGAAGGTGAGCGAGTTCTAGACAGAGAAAGGGCCCAGCAGGTGAGAGGTGAGTGACAGAGTGACGGGCAGGCACAGGACAGCCGCCCCCGGCCTCCTTAGCTGAGGACTGAGCAGTCTCTGTTTCTGCAGCCCCTGGCTCCCTCCAGCCTGATGTGGATAGTAGGAGACAGGCAGGAGCCCTGGGTGATGGGGCCCAGGGCATCACAGTGCCCTCCCCAGCCCGGGCTCTCCAGTCAAGGCAGGTGACTCAGGAGCAGAGCAGAGCAGGGGAGCAGAAGGCAGCCTGGGTGGTGGGTCCTAGTTCAGTCCTAGAGGTCTGGGGGATGTATACATATAATCAGGTGGCTGGAAGGGGAACCCCAAGCCCCTGAAACCCATCAGTACTCTCCTCGGGGAGGGCTAGAGCCTACACTCCAGAAAACTCAGGGGTGACACACCAGGGCTGGGGGAGGAGCCTCCTCCCAGAGGATTGAGTAGGGCAGCCAGCTACTTGAACCAGGCAGGAACCCGGACAGTAAAGAGGCAGCTGGAGAACAAGGAGGCCCACTCCTTCTCCCTGGGCCTTGGGGGAAAGGGGCCGGGCCCAGGCCCAGGCTGGGATCTCTCAGGAAGGAGCACTCAGTGTGTGGGGCCCCAAGCTCCAGCAGGCAGGAAAGAATCATTGTTGTGCTTATGGACACAGCAGCTCCTTGGCTCTGCAAGAGCCATCAGGCAGTTTTGAGGCACTAGAAGATTCCTGTGATGTGGTTCTAGGTGAATGGATAAGGCCCCGCAGCCTATCCGGCCAGCCCACTGACTGTACCCACTGGCTCCGGGACTGGGCTCTGAAAGGTCTCCTGGCTGACAGCCTGTAGCTGAGTCCCCAGGAGGAGAAAGGAGCCCAAAATGGGGTTGGTGAGGGGGTTGAGAAGAGGGGAAAGAGATGCTCTAGATCCTAGGTCTGAGGTTGGACCACCTGGGTTGTGCCCCCCTGGGTATGGCTTTCTAGGTAGGCAAAGGCAGCCCACCGCACTCCCATGGTGAGGACAAGGGTCGGGGCAGTACAAGGTTGGAAGCTCTGCGCCAGGCCTCCCTAGCCCCAGCCCCTGCCCTGCTTGCCCAGCGGCCCGGCCCTGACCCAGTCACACGGTCACTTCGGTCTTGCTGGCTGTGTAACAGGTGTGATGGCCCGGGATGTAATGCAACTGTTCCACGGTGTTGTGTCTGCGCGAGGCAAAGGCCTGGCGTTTGGCCGCCGTCTGGCTCTGCCCCAGGGTGGCGTAGGAGTTATTGGAGGTACTGGGATGGGAGTGCATCTTGGTCATTCGGTAGCGGTCTAGCACGGGCGTGGACACAAAGACGTCTGTGTGCGAGATGGCGCGAGACAGGGACTGCTCGGGGAAGGCCGTCCGCTCCGGGGACAGCAGCGGGTCCTGGGAGTGCAGGCGTTCGGTGGACAGTAGCTGCTCCTTGGACAGGATGCGGTCATAGGGCATGCCGAACTCATCCGGCAGGCCCCGCTCCGGGGACAGGACCCTGTCCTGCGACATGGCCCGGATGGGCCGGCGGGGCCGTTCCCTTGGCAGCGGTTTCTGCTGCTGTGACATCTGGATGACATTGAGGGGGAGGGTACCCCGGGCGGCCAGGTCCGGCAGGTGCCTCCTCCGCATGTAATATTCATCCGCTTCCTTGTCCGCTGCAGGGAGAGACAGAGAAAAGATGGCAATCACAGACCTTTAGCATCTGCAGCCCCTGACTCATGGGGACCCCACGCACAACGCATCAGACCCTTGCCATCCATAGAGTTTTCATTGGCTGATCACTAGGCTTCTCCCCCTGTTGTTGTAAAGCGCCTTCAAGCTGGCTCCTTTGGTTCCCATTCATAGCGACCAAACAGAATGAAACACTGCCCTGCCCAGCGCCATCCTCACAATTTTTGTTACGCTTGAGCCCCACTGTTCAATGTTGTGTGTGCGTGTGTGTGTTAAGTGCGGCCCAGTCGGTTCTGACACATAACGACTCTGTACAGGGCTTCCGAGGAGCGACTGGTGAGTTTGAACTGCTGACCTTGCGGTTAGCAGTCTTGTGCTTATCCTACAGTGCCACTCTTACTGTTGTTGTTAAGTGCCATTGAATCGGTTCCCACTCTTAGCAACCCTGTATAGAGTTTTGGAATTGTGACTGGTGGATTTGATCCGTCGACCTTGTAGTCACCTGGACTCCCAGTGTGAGCCCCTCCTCCATCTTATTCTGGAAGCCCCCCTAACACCTGGTCAGCATCATAGCAACAGGTGACCCTCGACTCACTCGGCTGCACCTGACACGTACCTGCATATGAGGTGCCTTTGTCTGAGAATCAAACCTGATGTCCCGCACGCTATTCTTGTTAAGTACTGTCGAGTCAGTTCTGACTCATAACCACCCTGTGTAGACTTCCTAGGAGCAGATGGTGGGTTTGAAGCGCTGATCTTATAATTAGCAGTCTAGCATGTACCCTACAGTGCCACACCAGGACTCCGTTCTCCCATATTGTTGTTGTTGTTA